GACAGCAAAAGAGGGCGGAAACCGCCCGGAAAGCGCGAGGATCCGGGCGACAATTAATTCCCGTTAATCAAGCTCCGAGGTGTCGCCTGTTGGGGAGTGACATCCCCCAAAAGGCCTGTCGGCCAATGGGCGCGTTCACACGGGCTGGGTGGGGGGTGCCGGGGTCCCCCGGCCCAAGTTCGGATTTTCTCCCCATTTCCCCCGTTCTCCCCCCGGGGAGGGCGCGGCTCTCCCGCTGCTCTCCGAGGTGCTGAAGGCACCGCCGGCTCCGGAGCGGCTCCGGCGCTGGCCGAGGTGCTGCGGGCTCCGGAGTGACTCCGGTTTCCCCCCCCGGCGCTGGCCGAGGGGCTGGCGGGGAAGGGGGGCGCCGCGGCGGCCCGGCGACTGGCCACCCCCTCCGCCCTCCCCTCGCCCTTCCCCATTGATTTCTGGATCATTAAGTGGTTAAGGCGCTGCGAAGCCTTCACTATCGATCGCTGCCTCCCCACCTCCGGCTGCGAGCCCCCGGGCTGCCCCCCAGCCCCGCGCCGCCGCGGCTCCGGGCACGGGTGGGGTGGCCGGGACCCCGGGTGAGGTTGGGGTCCGTCCCCCCTCACCCCACCCCCTTCGCGGCCAAAGTTTGACTCTGCCTCCCTCTCCCCCCCTCTCCTGTCTGTCTGTGAGTGCAGCTGGGCGCGATGCTGAAGACGGAGCAGTCCTGGATATAACGCGCGGCGCCTCGGAGAGCCTTGCAGCAATTGTTGCCCGGATCCCAGACTGAACTTTGTTCTTTTTTTTTTTTTTTTTTTTTTTCTTTTTTTTTTTTTTTTTTTTTTTTTTTTTTTTTTTTTTTTTTTTTTTTTTTTTTTTCCCTCCTGTTATTGTTAATTATCATTATCAACCCGCTTCCGCCGCGCCCTCCCCGCCAATGCCCGTGTGAGCGCCGGCACCTCGCGGGGGCCATGGAGGGCTCCACCGGCTTTGGGATCGACTCCATCCTCTCGCACCGAGCCGGCAGCCCGGCCGTGCCCAAGGGGGACCCGCTGGTGGGGGACGGGCGGTCCCCGCTGGAGCTGAGCCCCCGCTCGGAGGGCAGCAGCGGGTGCCCCTCGCCCCGCTCCCCGGGCCGCGAGTGCCTGGAGCCGGCGGCGCCGCGGCCGGGCCTGGACGCGCATCTCCAGCCGGGGCAGGTCTCGGCTCCCTCGCAGTCCCGGACCGTCACCTCCTCCTTCCTCATCAGAGACATCCTGGCCGACTGCAAGCCCCTGGCCGCCTGCGCGCCTTACTCCAGCACCAATGGACCTCACGGCGGGCAGGAGCCGCCGGGAAGGATCCCCACCAAGCCCGGCGAGGATTTTAGGGAGAAAATGGAAAAAAACACCAGCAGCTCCTCCTCGGACTCGGAGTACAAAGGTAAGAGCGGCTCAGCCGGCTGGGCTGTGCGGGGCGGTCCGGACCCGCAGCCTGCGGCGGCCCGGGAGCCCCCCGGGGCTCCGGGATCTCGCTGCGGAGCCGAGCCCCGCTCAGGGCGGCTCACGGCATCGGTGGCTCCCGAAATGACCGAGGGGTCGGCACCGACTTGGGGAAACTTGGGGGTTCGGGGCTCGGTGGGGCTCGGCCCGCTGGAAGGGGTTGGGGCAATCGGCGCTTCATGGAACGCGCCCGGGGAATGCTCCGGGGCCGCCTTCCGCCGCAAAGATCCGGCTGTGCCGTTCTACCCGCCGGGAAAGGAGGAGCGGAGACGCATTTCTGCCTGGGGAAAAAAAAATAAATTAAAAAAAAAAAAAGAAAGAAAGAAAAACCAAAACAAACAAACCAAAACAGAACCATATTAAAATAATAACGCATTTGCCAGGTATTTCCCCTGCTCCGGTGAGAAACGAGCAAGCCAGTCGGCGGGGTTTGATTCGATATTTGTTATTTGGATTATTATTTTGGAAATCGTTGGAAACCGAGCAGCGCAGACAGGGAGCCCCGGGCCGCATCCACAGCGCCGGCGGGCGTGGGGCAGGACGCGGGGGCTGCTCGCCCCGGGCCGGGGGCTGCTCGCCCCGGGCCGGGGGCTTCGGCCTCCCGGGCCCCCGCAGCCCCTTCCCGGCCTCCCCCTGCGGCAGTCGGGGCAGGGAGAGGCACAGGACCAGCCCGGCGGGATTTGGGGTCAGACCTCACCCCTCGGAACAGTTTATCCCGGGTGTCTTCTCCCATCCCACCCTCATCACCTCTGCGAAAACTTTTCTCCGGGAAAACTGTTCTCCGGCTGTTTGTGAGGGAAAGGAGAGGGTATCCATCCAGCTGGGCGGAGAAAAGGGAGGTGATGGCACCTCGCGGGGCTGCTGAATTTGGGGGGATTGGCAGGAAAAAAGAGGGGGACAGGCTGAGCCCCGTCCCGGCTACAAATGCACCCTGGGCTCGCCCGGAGCCGCTGGGCTGAAATCTGGTTCATGGAGGGAAAAAATATTCACCCAATGAAGCCTCCAAAGGCGGCGGCAGGCTCTGGACATCACGGGGCGATTTTCTCCAAACGAAGGACGGAGGCCGGGCTCGGTGCCGGGGCTGGAACCAGCCGCGATTCCCACCTTGGGGTTTGTTCTCTCCTACACCCGGCCCCAATTCCTGCAGCGCTTCTCGCCTGCCCCAAATCTCCGAGACGCGAAAGAAGCGAGGGGAGAGAAGAAAAGCGGGTTCTCTGCATGCCCCTGAGCCCGGCCCGGGGGTTCGGCTTTGGGTGGGGATCATTTCCCGGAGCCCCTCGGCTCCTCTCCCGTCCCTGCGGCGGGACAGCCACGGCCACGCTGCAAATGCCCTTTAAATGGGGAAAAAAAAAAATACTTTAAATTGCGAGGGAAACACCGCTTAAATAGGGCGCAAAAAACCCCCACTGCTTAAATGAAAGGAAAAAAAGATTGTCTAAGCAGAAGAAAAAAAAAAAAACAAAACAAAACAAAACAAAAACGAACTTAAATAGGGAGGAAACCACAGTTTAAATGAGAGTAAAAGCCCCGCATCAGTGGAGGAGAGGGTGAAGATCCCCGCTCCCAGAGCGGTCCTTTTTGAGCCGCTTGGAAATAGCCTTTCCTGGGGCAAAACGCCCCAGATTTACTCCGTAAAGGGGCTGCGAAGCTGGGCCTAACCCCCAGCGGTCAAAGTGCTGGAAAAAAAAAAACAAATTTTTTTTCAAAAAAAAGGAAAAGTTTTAAATAATTTTTTTTAAGTAGGAGTAGCCAGGGGCCGATCCGGACCGAGCAGGGAAGCCGTCGCCTCCGTTCCTGCGGCTCTTTGGCGAGCAGGAACTTTTTAGGAGCCGAGGATCAGCCCAGGGGCCGAGGGGATGATTTTCCTCCTCGGGATGCGAGAGGCCAGACCCGCTTTTACTCTGTGCAAAAGTCCTACAAACTTTGGGGCCGTTCCCGGGAGGGAGCGGGGCCGAAACCCCTGCCCGGGAACCGGGAACCGGCCCCGGATCTCCCCGCCCAAGGATCATCCCCGGCTCCTTCTGCCTGCTCGGCCAGAGCCGGGATTTCTGCTTGAAGGGTTTCACTCCCCGGTGGCTCAATTAACCGGATTATTGTCTTCCTACAGAGAGAAATCAGCTCGCGTTCGGCTCCAGCCTCGTCCCTACTCACCCCCGCCACCAACAAATTTAACATAAACCCCTGTTAAAAAAAAAAAATCACAAACCCAAACGCCGCCGATTTGTATCAATCGAACGTATTTGCGCCAAAATCTCCTCCAGGAGGGTGGAGAAGGCGAACACAAGCAGGAATTTCTTTTTCCCCTTTTATTTTTGTTACTGCTCCGTAATTTTTCCCATCACCTTCCAACATTTTGGGGCATAAATTCCCGCATCGCTCCGTCGGCGCCTATGTACCGAGCGCGCTAACGAATCGCCACCAACCCCTCTCGTTCGGCCTTTTTAAAAGATAAATAACAGCGCGGGCAGGGGTTTGCAAAGTGCTTTCCCCAGTATTTCGTTGTGCGCCCTGGAGAAGGGAGGGTTGTTGTGTGCAGCATCCCCGGGAGGACAGAGGCTTCTCCGCGGAGGGGAGAGGCAGGACCAGCACGGCAACATCATTCCCCTCCAAAAAATGTGGGCTCCCAATTTTCGTTTTTGTTTGGTTTGTTTTGGTTAAAAAAAAAAAATAGAGAGATATAGAGAGAGAAAAATAAAAAAGATAAGGAGAAAGGTAGATAGAAAAAGAAGGAAATAAAAAATATCCAAGCACTGAGAAAGCTTTTGAATTTGGGGGAACACGCCCAGAGGAAGGTCCTGCCCTGAGAGGAATGAGGGGTGAGGGGGATCAGGGGGGTGGCAGGGCCGGGCCGGGGGTTCTCTCGGCACAGTCCATCGCTCCTGCTCCGGTCCCGGGCCCTCGGAACCGGGAAAAGCCGGGGGAGCCCCTGACATCCCTCTGGCAGCCGGGGTTAAAATTTACGGGGGTGCAGAGCAAATGTGCCGTGAGCCCCACTCGGAGCCCAGCCCTGCGCTGGGTCACCCTCTCTTCTGAGGGTAATCCCTCTCTTCCTCCCTCTCGGCTCAGTGAAAGAAGAAGGGGACCGAGAGATCTCCAGTTCCCGGGACAGTCCCCCGGTGCGGCTGAAAAAGCCGCGCAAAGCCCGCACCGCCTTCACCGACCATCAGCTGGCCCAGCTGGAGCGCAGCTTCGAGAGGCAAAAATACCTGAGCGTGCAGGACAGGATGGAACTGGCCGCCTCCCTCAACCTCACCGACACGCAGGTGAAAACGTGGTACCAGAACAGAAGGTAAAAATGCACCGTTGCCTCCCGCCCTGCTCCCCTCCCCGGCCGCGCACCCCCAAACCGGGCAGGGCGTGTTGCACCCCACAGCCGCCCCGACCCTCCCGGCCCCGGGACAGCGGCGATGTCGGTCCCGTCCCCGCCTATCCCGGGGCCTTTTACCCCAAAATCAAGGGGAGAAAAGCGATGCCGAGGCAGGGCGGGTGTGGGGTGGGAGGGGGCAATCCGTGCCCCCAGCCCCGGTAAGGCGGGGAGGCAGGATCGGG